GCGGGGCGCGGGGCGCGGGGCGCGGGGCGCGGGGCGCGGGGCGCGGGCTGGGATCGGGGCAGGGGCTGGGATCGGGGCAGGGGCTGGGATCGGGGGCGCGGGGCAGGGGCTGGGATCGGGGCTGGGACTGGGGGCGCGGGGCGGGCTCCTAGAGCCCCGCAGAGCGGACCCGGGTCGCTGGCGGGCTCAGCCCTGCTGGGGTCTCCTCCGGAGCCGGCGCCGCCCCTGCCCGCAGGTACGTATTCATCGTGCAGAAAAGCTACCAGGAGAGCGAGACGGGCCCCGAGAGCTCCATCATCACCAAGGTCAAGGGGATCACCACGTCCGAGCACAAAGTATGGGACGTGGAGGAGTATGTGAAGCCCCCCGAGGTACGGGCCGCCCCCTTGACCCCCGCACTGCAGTGCACCCCACCTCAGTGGGCCGAGGGGCAGCAGCTGCCGCCTGGCCGACCGACCCCCCTCCTCTTTCTGAGCCCAGGGGGGCAGCGTGTTCAGCATCATCACCAGGGTCGAGGCCACCCAGTTCCAGACCCAGGGAACCTGCCCCGAGGTGAGCTGGGCCCTTGGCGCTGGGGGACCCTGCCTCAGCTAGGGGGGCTTGCAGGATCCCTGACTGGGCCGCCTCCACCCTAGAGCATAAGAGTCCACAATGCCACCTGCCACTCCGACGCCGACTGCGTGGCTGGGGAGCTGGACATGCTGGGAAACGGTCAGTGTGCGCCGGCGGGGGCTGGGCTGGGCAGGGCTTTGCCCCCACTAAGCCTCAGTGACCTCTGCCCCACAGGCCTGCGGACCGGGCGCTGTGTGCCCTATTACCAGGGGCCCTCCAAGACCTGCGAGGTGTTCGGCTGGTGCCCGGTGGAAGATGGGGCCTCTGTCAGGTGCACCCGCGGTCCAGCCTCCACTCTGATCCTTTTCCTGTGACCAGAGGCTAGATGGGCAGGGCAGCAGTGACAGGAGCTGGGGGGGGCAATGCCAGGTGGGGGCCTTGGAGGAGGAGGGGACTGAACAGCCCGTCTGTGCCTTCTCAGCCAATTTCTGGGTACGATGGCTCCAAATTTCACCATTCTCATCAAGAACAGCATCCACTACCCCAAATTCCACTTCTCCAAGTAAGAGCCGCAAGGCGTGGTGATGGCCCAGCATGGGGGCTGCCTCCTGGGAATGGGGCACTTGGGGTGCAGGCCTTGCCTCCTGCTGCCTCCTCAGGGGCAACATCGCCGACCGCACAGATGGGTACCTGAAGCGCTGCACGTTCCATGAGGCCTCCGACCTCTACTGCCCCATCTTCAAGCTGGGCTTCATCGTGGAGCAGGCTGGGGAGAGCTTCGCAGAGCTGGCACACAAGGCAGGGCAAGCGCAGGCGGGGCGGGGCCAGGGTGGGCTGCCACCTGTGTAGGGAGGGCCTGAGGTACAGGGGGGACAGTCCCTTCTCCCTCCCGACCAGCCGGCCCTGCTCAGGCAGAGGAAAGAAACACGATCAGCACAACCCGTCCGTGTGGCACTTGCTGAATTATTGACACTGGCCACAGGGCTGGCCACTGGCACCCCGTACAGCTCAGACACTGGACGCTCAGCAGCACCCCCAAGCTGCCCTGTGGGCCCCTCAGTGCGCACCTCACATGCAGCCTGGACTGATCCCGGCTCAAGGGGCCTCTTGTGTGCTGTGCCTTCCTGACCCCCTTCCCTGGCTTCTTCTTGGTAGGGTGGTGTCATCGGGGTCATCATCAACTGGGACTGTGACCTGGACCTGCCCGCCTCGGAGTGCAACCCCAGGTACTCCTTCCGGAGGCTGGACCCCAAGCATGTGCTTGCCTCGTCAGGCTACAACTTCAGGTACTGTCCTCGGAACACTGCTGTCCCCCAAATCATAGCCACAGTGGGGTCCTGAGAGGCTCAGCACCCGAGGGGCAGCCCTGGAGCGTGGAGGATAAGTGGGCCCTGGCTGGTGCCACACAGGACCAGGCAGCCTGGACATGGGCTCCCGGCCTTCCCGTTCCAGGTTTGCCAAGTACTACAAGATCAATGGTACCACCACCCGCACGCTCATCAAAGCCTACGGGATCCGCATTGACGTCATCGTGCATGGCCAGGTGACTGCCCCGCTGGGGGTGGGTGGCCAGCCCTGCTCCTCATGCTCCTCCCCTCTCCAGCCCCATCAGTGGTTGTCAGACATTCTGACCACCCCCATTCTCTCCAGGCTGGGAAGTTCAGCCTGATTCCCACCATCATTAATCTGGCCACAGCTCTGACTTCCATCGGGGTGGTAAGGAACCCACTCTGGGGTCCCAGTGGGTGCGGGGGTTCCACCAGGTCTTTACACCCTGGTCTCTGCTTTGCTGGCCCCAGGGCTCCTTCCTGTGCGACTGGATCTTGCTAACATTCATGAACAAAAACAAGGTCTACAGCCATAAGAAATTTGACAAGGTGTGTGCGCCCAGCCGCCCCTCAGGTAGCTGGCCTCTGACCCTTGCCCGCGTTTTGGACCAGGCCCCTCCCCAGCCTGCCCACTGCTCTGAGGATCAGCCCCCCAGCCCTCCATCAGGCCAGGAGGGCCAGCAAGGGGCAGAGTGTGGCGTGGCCATCGTGCCCCCAAGGCCTTGCCCCATCTCTGCCCCATCCAAGCAGATGGTGGACACTCCTGTCTCCGAGCCTGCCCCGCAAGACTCCATACCCACAGACCCTAAAGGTTTGGCCCAACTCTGAGTGCCTTCCTGACACACTGCACTGCAGACCCAGACTGGTGCAGCCAGCCAGTCCCCAGCTAGGGACCCTCAGTGGACCTGGGCACTTTGGTAGCGGAGCATCTCCATGAAACCAAACACCACAGGATCCCCGTGCAAGGGCTGGGGCTCCACCCTGGCGCACCAGCCCTGACTCCTCCCCAACTGGTCCCTAGAGTGCTGCTCACTTCCCACCACCTCTCAGCCACCTGGGACCCAAGGCAACTGAGCTCTGAGGGGCTCTGCTCCTTGTCTTGGGCCATGGGAACCCTCGCCCCACCCCACCCCACCAGTGTTTTAACTTCGAATTCTGCCCAGACTCTTAGAAGGCACAACATACTCTTGAGTTCAATAAACTTGCAAGCACAACCTTCTGGCCTTGTTCCTTGGGTAGAAGCATCGTGAGCCCATGAACATGGGGTGCTAGGCCCTACCAGCCTGGAGCTGGGCTGCACAGTGACCTGGTCTGGGTCATCTCCCCACTAGGCAGCCGGGAGGTGTGCAGGGCACATCTGCCTGCCCCACGACCCACTGTCCGCACAGCCAGCCAGGCCACAGTCAGGTCTGCCGAGGCTTGGAGTGCACTGGGACCCAGGACATGTCCCTGCCTTCACCTGGCAGGCCACCACAGATGCCAAACCAGAGCTGCCTCATCTCAGAATGTGGGAGGAGGATAGCATGACTCAGGAAGAGAAAACGGAAGGGAGGCGGTGATAGCGGCACACAAGGAAAACGAAAGCTCAGGCTGCAGCGGTGCTCGGACCAGCACTCATTCCTGCTGGGTGGGGACAGGATCCGAGACGGGAAGTCAGGCCAGGCGGAGGTGGATGGACACCAGCCTGGGAGCTGGCTCTAACTGGATCAGGGCCTGTGGGTCATCTGGTTACTGCATCCTCGGCTGCTGCAGTGGTTAGACTGGTACCCACCAGGCGGGGGGAGGGGGGCGTCCTGGGAGGAACGCAGAACTGAGCATCATGAAGTCGCCCATGCCAGGTGCCATCCTGCCTTCTGAAGGAAAACCCAGTCGCAGGAAAGAACGCCACTCCCCAGGGTTGAATTGCAGAGAAGGGCAGGCAAGGCAGGCCGGGTCTTATCCGAAAGCCTGAGTTTGGAGTCCTCACCCCAGTGCTGTGTTCAGGTGGTGAGAACAGTCTTCTCACCGTACACAGGACAGCCAGGCCCTATTTCCCTTCACTCGTGGCCTCCCAGCCTCAGGTCACCCCATGGCCTACATGTGCTGTGTGGCTCACAAATGTCCGGCTCCAGTTTTGGAGAAACTGGCTCTTCCAGTTGAGCCACAGCTTGGGAACCAAGGCCAAAGCTTGTTTCTGAGCCCTCCACCAACGCTCAAATGCCCCAGCTCCCAGCTGGCCTCAGAGTGAACCCAGGCTGGCCGGGGCCCACAGCCACGCCAAGCGCCCCCTGGTCCTGCTGGGTGGCCTTCCTGGGAGATGAGTGGCTGTCCTCTGGCCCCATCAATCCTCATTCCCGAGTGTTCTCCCGCTTTGCTTCCAGGAATGAAGCCCAATCAGCCAGCCTCCCTCCTCCCCCGTTTGCCCTAATTTGATTTGATCTCCACTCTGGAGGCCTCAGCACTCGTCCATCTGTGCAGGCATCAGGTTTCTCCAGGCAGGCAGCCTGAGTGGCATCCAAGGGCCAAACACATGCCCAGCGGTACCCATTCCCCCAGTCTGGGGCACCCTGCACAGATACACAGTGACAACCTAAAGAAACTTCGGTGTGAAATACAAGTTAAAATGGAAAGTGTGGTAGCGATGCCCTCGGACAATAGATGGCAGGGACAAACTAAGGCCAGCTCTGTGCCAACAATGCAAGCCTCCCAGGGAGCATGTGGGCCCCTCTCCTGTGAGCTGTCGTCTGGGGCAACTGCGTTTCTGATTTACATTTCATACTTGTTTGCTGCCCTGTGAAACTGGCCTTTCTGCTTCCAGCTGGTCCAGGGCAAGAAAGGACAAGGGATGTATCTGGCTGAAAGTGAGGTGCACAGAGGTCTTGTTTTCCTGCGACTGATGGAGGGTTCCCTCTAGAGCTGGCTCCAAATGAGCAGGGCACAAAGCCAAAGTCCAGATTCCCATGGATCAGGGTCCAGACTCCCTGGGAAACCAGCCCACACCCTGCTCCTGAAAGGCGGTGGGGACAGCCCACTTCTCCATGCAAACAGGTGAGACTCCGGCCCCACCACGGCCGTGGAAACCCACCTCCTCTCAGAGCCCAATCTCAGGTAGCCAGACACCTCCAGGGGTTTTTCCTCCTAAGAAAAAGAACTGGCGCACCTAGAGAACTCTCCCGCCCCGCCATGTATGGTGCAGGAAGCAAAAGGAGGCTGGAAACGCAGTCAACGAGAAACGGCACCCAGGGCTCTGGCAGTCTCGCTCGTGGCCTGCTTCTGTGGACACTCTGGCAAGGCCAGGGCCACATCCTGCTCCTGTTTGCTCCTGTGATGTCTGAGTTCCCTGAGAATTGTTTTCTTTGGTTCCCGCCCCGTTCCCTGGCCTGTGGTCACAAGTTTGGACAGTCAGGGTGGTCAGTGGTCTGGTCACTGGAAGCATGGGGATGCAGCCTCTGCATAAGGGGCCTGGCGCGGATGTAGAGGCGCCCGGGGCCCGGGGCCCGCTACTGGCCCAGCTGTGGGTTTTTCTGCAGCAACCACTCCAGGGTCTCCAGGAGGTATGACATGCCGTAGTGCTGGGCAATGTTCTGGAAGACTCTGATCTGTTCCATGAAGACCTGCAGGAATAAACAGACGCAGTGAGACCCCAGTCCCCACACAGAGGAGGTCGAGGAGGCGAGGCTGAGCCAAGGCAGGTGAGGGAGAGCCCACCTGGGTGTGGATGGTGAGGGCAAAGTCCCCTGCGCAGCTGCAGTACACAGGCATGTGGGTCTCCTTCACCCCGCAGCACTTCAGGCAGACCTGAAAGGGAATAGCCCCAATGGGAGCCAGCCCTCCTAACTAGGCCGGACCCCCTGCTGCTTCTTCACAGGCTCGAGAGGAGAGACACATTCATGGGCCCATCAGTAAGACTTGAGCCCCCAATGTGCGCACACCAGCCCTCATGTAAAATGAACCACTACATCCCACCCTGCCAGTGCCTTCCCTACACCCACCCTCGCTGTGGGTGTCCCACCCCAGACACCCAGACCTGAGCCCCCTCCAGGCCCTGCTCGCTCCCTCTCTCCTGCAGGCCTGGACCACTGCAGCTTGGTGTGTTCCCCGCCTCTGCTCGGATGCCCCTCAGCGAGACCTTCCTGTGGCCCCGCCGAGCTGTGCAATTCCCTCTTCCTTCTTCACTTCTCCTCACACACAGGAGTGTCTGTCTCCTTCCACAAGAACAAAGCACCCACAAGGCCAACTCCTGACCCAAGGCAGATGCTCAACCAGTGTGGACAGAACATCCATCAGGCTCAGGGCCCAGATGATCTGCAAGGCAGGCCTCTTGGAGGACACCAGGCACTGCTTACCAGGTCCTGCAGGGTGAAGGCCATCAGCTTCTTCTGCAGAACTTCTACCAGCGCCATCTCAATGGCAGAGGAGTCATAAGCCGCCTGACAGTTGGAGCAGAGCCACTGAGGCAGGACCGCCCCGTCCTAGGCAGAGCAAGAGCGGGAGAGGTCACCAGCTGGCCTCCAGACCACAGTGCTGTGGGCAGCATCTCAGGAGAGGAAGGGGCTGTGAGAAGGGCCTGGTGAGGGCGAGACGCCTGCGTGCAGCTGCCTGCACTCAGACCTGGCCTCTCATCTGCACTTGAGCCTTTCCTAGGACAACACTCCGAACGTGGTGTGGGGAGGCCTGAGAAGGTGCCTGCTGCCCATCCGTGAGTCAGAAGTGCAGCAGGTGTCACCCACAGAGCTGGGGCTGCAGGAGCCCCAAGACACCACATTGCCCTCGGATGTCCTGCTCTACCCGTGAAGGGCCCGAGGAAGCTCAGCCGCACCTCTGACAAAGAAGAGTCTTTACACAGGTCCAGGTCGCGGCAGAAGTTACAGCTGCGGCAGATGACCTCAGGGAGCACGTAGGAGCGACAGGGGTCTCTGAATTGGGCCTCCTCGGAGAATTCACCGACATCCACCAGGCGAAGCAGGTCTCGGTTCAGCTTGTTCACCTGGTTTGTGATGTTGGTGTCCAGGGACAGCACCTGCGGAGACCACAGCCCACATCAGGAAGCAGCTCCCGGGGCCTCCCTGCCACTGGGCTGGATCAGAACCCTCTGGACCTCAGGCTGCGGCTTCCTGGAGCCCTTTCCTCCCTTCCTTAGCCCCTTTAGAAGCCTCAGAGAGCTGGCTTCTCTACACTGGCAGTTCTCCATCGGTGAGAACAGGCTTCCCTGGGGAATCTACCAAGCACTTGAGGAAGAAATGCTGTGATTCTACACAGTATCTTTCAGAAAAGTGAAGAGGGAGAGCACCCCAAGTCATTCTATGAGGCCAGCATCACCCTGATGCTACAACCAAAGACCACACAAAGAAAGAAACTACAGACCAGTAACTGAGCACACACACAAAAATCCTCAAAGAAATATTAGCAAATTAACCTAAGATATAAAAAAAACACATAATCCAGAAATAGATCCACACAGATGAGGTCATTAAGTTATGGAAAAAGGTACAGAAATGATTCAACAGAAAAATAGTCCTTTTCAACAAATGGTTCAGGAATACAAATGTAAAGATAGTGCAAGTTCAGTTTCAAACCACCTCAACAGAGCAAATACCACAATAAAGCAAATCACACAAATCTTTTGGTTTCTCAGTGCATATAGACATTATGTGATTTGTGGTGGCTCATGACTGTGGTGGCTCCCAGCACTTTCGGAGGCCAAGGCAGGTGGATGAACTGAGGTCAGGAGTTCAAGACCAGCCTGGCCAACATAGTGAAACCCTGTCTCTACTAAAAATACAAAAATTAGCTGGGTGTGGGGGTGTGTACCTGTGATCCCAGCTACCGGGGAGGCTAGAGCAGAATCGCTTGAATCCAAGGATGTGGAGGTTGAAGTGAGCCAAGATTGCACCACTACACTCCAGCCTGGGTGACACAGTCAGACTCCATCTCAAAAAAACAAAAAGGTTATGTGATTTGTTTTATTTTGGAACAGGATCCCGCTGTGTCACCCAGAATGGACTGCAGTGGTTCAATCATGGCTCACCACAGCATTGATCTCTTGGGCGCAATCGATCCTCCTATCTCACCCTTCCCAGTGGCTGGGACATCACGCATGCACCACCATGCCCAGGTAATTTTTGTGATCGTTGTAGAGATGGGTTTCGCCATGTTGCCCAGGCTGGTCTTGAACTGCTGGGCTCAAACAGTCTACCCGCCTGGGCCTCCCAAAGTGCTGGGATTACAGGTGTGA